GTCTTTACTGGGAAAGATGTATTGTAATTTTTTTATACTGCAGGAAAAGTCTTTCTAGAAAAGAGCAATTATGTTGACTATTTTTTCTGGAATTCCATAATATCGTAAAATTTCCCATAGACTCTCTATGGACGCTGTAAAAAGCTTTCTCAAAGTCCACAAAATTTATATATATACTTTTCTGCCATTCATTGCATTGTTCTAAAATGTTACGTATGGCGAAGATGTGCTCAGTTTTTCCTCTGCCCTTTCTGAACCCTGCTTGTTCTACTCGTAGGCATTTATCTACTCCTTTTTCAAGCCGCATTATGATAATTTTACAAAATATTTTGCTCGGTACTGAGAGTAGAGTAATTCCCCTCCAAGTATTGCAGTCTGTTTAGTCTCCTTTTTTGGGGATTTGGACTATTGTTCCTTCAGTCCAGTCATCAGGCAACACTTCTTTTTCCCAAATATCCTTGAACAATGGTTCTAGAATGCAAGCAGTTGTGTTGGGATCTACTTTGAGAAGTTCTGCTGGCAGTTCGTCTTTGCCTGGTGATTTGTTGTTCTTTAAAGTGTGGATAGCTTTAAGGATTTCTTGTTTGCGTGATGGTTCCTTTGCCACCTGTTTTAAGTCTACATTGTTTGTTAGGCCAGTGGTTGAGCCTTTCCTGATGATGGTTCTACACAAGGTCTCTCTCGGTCTTCCCTGCTTTCTTTTTCCTTCTTTGTCCATACAAAGGCTTGAATGCATGTGTAGTTTTATTTGAATGGACATTTTTGTCTGCAGAATATAAATACACATATGTTCAGCAAAGATCTGTATAGGTATACTGAAACAAATATCTGATACATTATTTGTTGTCTCATTTCAGTATTTACTGCGCCACAAAGATGGAGGAAAGTTTTGTGAAGCCTTGAGAGCCAATCCTGTGAGGCTCACGAACATGCTGTCTGGTCAACTCCAGGTACAAGTCAGAATTAAAGATATCTGCTTCTTAGAGAACATTAAAAATGATTTTTTTTCAGCACTTGAATCATCCATAAACCAAAACCGGCTGTATTGCATGCACCATTTCTTATAGATGTAGTGTATTGTCCGTATGCTTACACAATATTCATATCCTTAGCATTTACCTACGATAAATGAAGGTGGTCATGATTTACCATCTCACACGACTATCAAAAGCACACATCAGGTCAGAACTCTTGTCACGCCCTATCCACATGTTCATGGCATCCGGGTATTTATCTTCTTGCCTTTCCCTTGCTCTTTTTTCCATCAGGCTTGCCATTGTAACCAAGTTCTCAAGTCCATTCCTTCTTTTAAGTCCAAAAAATACTCACTGTAGTTTTTATAATCACTTTATGGTTTCCATCTATCGTCCTCTTTTGTTTTACTACCTTTCCATTTGCATTCTTCTCAATAACATCATCTCTCCTGCAAAAAAAATGCAGTGCCCATTTTTAGCTTTGGAGTCATGATCAATTTTCCAACTGCACTGCCGTTCATCAAAAACAATTTTTGTTGTGTAGACTAATGAATCTGTATAGTTTTTTTAACATGGTATATGGCGTCGCACGTCGACCCCTGCCTAAAATGGGTACCAGGATGTATGTCCTGGAGAAGTAAAGATGACCGGTGTAATGCTGACCACATTACCCACCTAGTGCCGATTGGTCTATATAAATATGTATGGATGCTCTTCCCATATGCTCGATGCTCCTAAAGGCATAAAAAGGATCTTTACTTTTTACTTACTAGACTAATAAATGATTATAATCCTTTCAGGTGACACCGTCTAGTCCAATAGCAAGTCCTGCCCCTGTGAGAGCAGAACTGCAATACCGTGCCATTCGTCTGATTGCTCTCTTGGTGAGGTATGATGACAAGTGGCTACCACAGCAGACTCAGATGGTAAGTTTTCATGAATCACTTTTCCAGTCCTGTTTAAAGCAGTATGTTTTTAGTTGGCAGAAGGGAGAAATGTGTTTGCCATTAACTATTTTAATGTAGCATTTGTACAAAATAGTGTGTAACATTTGTACACAGTGTGTAACATTAGTACAGAATGACAGTATTAGACTCAGGTGGTAAGTTTTCAGGAATCACTTTTCTGGTCCTATTTTTGTAGCAGTATGTTTTTAGTTGGCAGAAAGGAGAAATATGTTACATTTGCTATTAACTGTTTTAATGTAGCATTTGTACAGAATATTGTGTAGCATTTTTTACAGAATAGTATACGATTGAATGTCATAAATGACAGTCTCTTATTTTACTTTAATTTCTATGTGTAGCGTTTCTTCATAGGGTAAAATGTATATTATCCAGTACTGTTTGACATTTTCAGCTGCATGATCCATGTGTGAAGAATATTATGTTTTTTTTTAATGTATGTATCTTTATTTTCTTCATAGACCTTGTAACAGATCTATAAAACAGTATGGCTAATTTAAGTTTTCTTTATTCACAGAGACCATTCCTGTTGTCCATATGGGTATCTGACAGTTTTATGGAGAGGCACAAGGCAGTGGTGAGTCATGCACATTTTTTGGCTTGTAATGAACAAATACTAATAAAAACATGGAGCGGCCATAACATGTATTTAAAAATATAAAGAATTTCCTTGATGATTTCTTGTTTGGAACATGCGCTAGTAGTCATGACTCTTCACACTCATCTGGTATACATCTTAATTACTTATAAATTCTTCTCAGTGCTGAGCTACAACCTAGGAAACAGTGTGTTGACATAGGAAGAAAAATTGCTACTCCGTTTATTATTAGCTGTTAGTCTACTTAAATTGTCCGCATTGATCTTTCGTCTTTCTCTGCTTAAAATTTATCTTTTCATTTATTGAGCTAACATTTTGAGCTTGCTATGTTTTTTTAATACATTTGCTGTTTTCAGGATGAGTTGGACTATGTGTACTGGAAAGAGCCAGCTCTTTTGTTAAAGTGTTTGATCAACTATTTCAAGTAAGTTGTTGTTAACATTTCAGGTGATTTAACATTCAACCTGAGTTAGAAGATTCTGCTTGTGTTACATCTCTCATGATCTCTTGGGAGGTTCTCTGCTGGAAAGTGATCATTTACCTCAAGTTGTGAACTTTGTGGTTCTGTTTTCAGAACGTAGTGTTTGGTTCATAGAGATACCTGAGGGTTGTAATTGGAGTTTCAGTATTTGTGTTATAGGTGGTGCTCTTCAGTGATCATCACTTCTCGTTATGCCTAGTGGCACATGAGGCTTCAGAGAGGACTTTCCATGCTTTCCTGTCCTGTGCAATCTTCAGTGCAGTTTTCCTTGTCAAAGATGCCACACTCAGGTCACTTTCCATCGTTCGTCTCTATGTTGTTTTTGGGCGCTCCTTTTTTCTCTTTCCCTCTGGTATCCATGTGAGAGCTGTTTTGGCAGTATATCAGGATTCATTCTCATAACGTGGCCAAGCCATTTCCATCTTATCATACTGTCTAGAGTTTCTTGGTTTGTGACTTGAAGTAGTTTAGTGTTTGAGATTGTATCTGGCCAGAACATTTTGATAATTCTACGTAGACGTGTGGTGGAAGGTGGACAGTTTATGTACATCCTTTCTGGTCATTCTCCAACATTCTGCTTCTTAAAGAAGAAATGGCAAAATGATGCTCTTGTAGAGTCAGAGTTTCGTTCCTCTGCAGTAATTGTTGGATTTCTAGATTTGCCTCATCCTTCCAAAAGCAGCTCTAGCTTTGTGATGCTCTTGGGGTGTGTAATTCCAGTGTGTCCACACTGAGACAGGTGGAATACAACCTGATGCAGTGAAGTCAATTGCAATTTTAAAGCATTATTTAATCAAGACTCTGTGATGTATTTCAGCCCCTTTAAATTTTGTAATTTCATAGTTATCAATAAATGTTTTTTATGTGTGTAATGTTTTGATTGTTTATCTACTCCTGGAAGTTGGTCTTGATCTGGCTTATTTCTGTGCATTTCTGTGCATACTGTTTGTTCGTTGTCTCTCATACACAGGCACTCTGACTTTAAAGGATACAGCCCTAATTAATTAGTCAATATTTATGACATATTTGTTAGGAAGTGCGTTCATCCGAAGATGTAATTGCATTATACCCATTTACAGCATGGCATACAAAATATCATAAGTGTATGCTGAATAGTTATGAAGTTATGGCATTTTTAATAGTCTGTATTGTTGAAAGATAAAAGATTTTTTGATTGCCTTTTTTTTTTCTCTCTACTGTTCTGCAGCCACATGATGATGATGTATAACAAATTAAACAAAATTTTTCTTGGAGTTAGTTCTCCATTTGATTTTGAACAAAAATAAAAATTATTATAAGTGTGTTAAATAGTGGTGAAGCTATGGCATTTTTACACACTAAAATGCGTAGTATATGAGAAAATGCAATGGTTGAAGGGCCTGGTTTTAAGCAGATGCATTTCCAGGTACTAATTATTTGCCCATTTTGTTTCATTATCCATCTTCACACTAAAACATGAGTATTTCACAGAATAATCGTTTGGGGAAGGGTTAGATTTGTCAGATTTTGAAGATAATTTCAAATTTCTGGATGTTTTCCTGGTCTTTTGTGGACATGGCTCCCCATTAATTTATCAACAATCTTATGCTTACCTTTTCTCAAATTATTTCGCTTTGATTTAGTTAATGCTCCCCTGTTTAAAATGTATTGCTAGTTGCATCCCAACTTATTTCATGATAACTTACTTGACCACTTAGTGTTTGTTAATAATTATCAGTTTTGTCATTTTGTGTTGGCCCTCCTGTTTACTTATTATTCAAAGAACTGTTTGATTACTGTTAGTCTGTTTAAAAGAGAGAGAAAGAAAGAATGAATTAAAGAAAATATTTGTTTGTGAATATGAAAATTTACATATTGTAACTGAGTGTGGCTGCATTTTAAATTCTGACCTGAGGCAACTGGTATATAGTGTCTGGCTTGTTTGTAGCATTTACCTCATGTGTTGTGTAGTAATGCACCATTATTTTTATTTTTAACTTCAGATATCATACAGAAGACATAGAACTCTTGTTTCAAGTCCTAAGATGCTTCATCAATAGGTTCATACCACAGTTTCAGTTTGTCAAAGACTTTTTGGATGAGACCGTTGCAAAGGTTTGGAACTGGTGTCTGTCTCTCTCTCTCTCCTTGTTTGTATTTTTTTTTATGATGTTGGAATTTACAATTTCTTAATTTACATCTTTGAGAAATTATAATTGTAGAAGAGCACAACCACTTTTCATATGATTATCTAAAGCTCAGTGCCGAGAGAAGTGGGCATGACTAATGTTATATTAAATGTGTGTTTGTTAAAACTGTGTGGTGACAAATGTGTTGTGATTTGAATTCTTTCTTTCCCTTTTCTCCCCACCTAAAAGACCTACACCACAGAATGGAAGAGGAAGGCCTTCTTCAAGTTTGTTTCAGTCTTCCATGATCAAAGTTGGCCTCAGGAACTGAAAGCAAAAGTAAGTGACTGTGTAGAACTATAACAGAATGGGTAGCTTCTATGTGTTCCTATTCATAGTACTTTTCAGTTAAGTATATTAATTCTTTATAGCAAATTATCTGAGTATCTGAAGCTTAAGCGTTGCTAACATACTTTGTAATTCAGTGGTGCCAGGTTCACTTCCAGCTGCGTGTGATTTGGCAGCATATCGGTTTTTTTTTTGTTGGTTTCAACAATGGTTCAACAGCCAGGTGTTCAGAAAATGGCAAACTACTGAGCGTAAAATCACAAGCAGCCCTAAAAAATTAGCTGGAGATGGTTCTGCAGCATCCTGTAAAAGACACACATTAAACATTTTTTGTTTTGTTTTGTTAATAGCCTGTTATAAATGCAGCAACTGTAGACACAGACACTTCACCTCTCAAGGTTTGATGTGAGAGTAAGAGGATGCTCAAGCAAAAGATGATTTGATGGCACTGAAGGCATTATAAAATCCTAAGTATAATAATAGCCAGTGTTATTATCAAGTGCTGGATCGTAAACTTCTTATCACAAAGATAAAATATAAAATGGGGATAATCATAGCCAGCTCAGAGTAGTAGCACTCTAGTTTATAAGTTGAATAATGTCTGGGAAGTAACAATTGGGGTAAAAGTATTTAAGCTCCCAATGAGAACAATGGCTGAGGAACACCTGAGATCATTACAAATTTACAGATGGTAATCATTAGCCATCATGAGCAAATAAAAGATGTAGCAACTGTAGAAAACTTAGTATGAATGTTAACCACACCAGGATTCAAACACACTTCACTCAGATAGGAAACTCTCACTGAATGAGCAAGTATACTTGAGCAGACAACCAACTAGATGCCCTGGGTAAAACCGCAAGTGTTGACAAACTATTACTATTTTATCTAAACCGGGTAAAAAATAGCCAAGATGGAAGGGATATTTGAAAAGTGCCATCATCGTTTAGAAATTGCCCCTTTTTGGCCCAAAATTAATACATCAATATTTTAAGCACATTCTGTTTATAAAACTACTCTGTTTTAAACCTCTACGCATACATCTTATACATGACAAAATACAGCAATTTCCACATATAGCATTACTCATGAAAGTCTGTAGTTGTCACTGTGGACACAGAAATATCCGTTTTTCTTTTTATTTCAGATCTTGCAGTACGTACTGATTCCCTGCTTCTATCACTCATTTGAGAAAGGAGAAGGGGACAGACTCATTGGAGGTCCTCCAGCACCTGACCAGGACAGTGATGACAACGTCATCAGTGTGTTTATTAACCGTGTCATTGACCCAGAGAATCCTTTTGGAACCTCTGATGCAGTTAGGATCCTGTTGCTTCAGTTTTCCTCACTTCTTGTGGAGCAGGCCTCTGCACATATTCATGATGCTGCAAACAAGTAAGCATACATCAAGTGTTGGCCATTGCTGGTGTTGTTGTTTGTTTGCATTCACTGGCTGTAAAAGCTGGCGGAAAGACCTGGTTGTTCGTCCATTTCTGGACTTTGGCTTTGTTTTAGGACCTGAGTTTTGCGTATGCATTCGTTCTACAAATCTTGCTTATTTATATGCAGACATAAAATTGGGACAACAGAGATAAAACACCTTAGAAGAGCTGCAGGAGTTTCAAGAAATAGAATACGAAATCAGACGAATGCTAGGAATAAAGCCAGTCTTACAAGTCATGAAAGAACAAAAAATTAAATGGTTTGGACCCCTAACAAGAATACCCTGATACTATCTGCCACAGTGAGCCATACTTAAACGTTACAACTGGTATAGAGCGAGTGAAAGACCTTGGAAAAGGAGTGATGGCATCACAGAAATGAACATCAGTCTTAATAGTACTCTTGACAGAGCTCATCAATGAATGTTAAACCTCCCCCCCGACACTTCGCTGAGGCACAAGATTGAAGAGAAGAAGAAGTACAAAGAGGGAAGAAGACGCTTTTTGTGACCACTGAAAAAGTTTTTCAGAAATGAAACAGAGGAATTTAGTTTTCTCAAAGTAAATCTACTTTTTATTAGTCTTTCTGTATAATTTTTTTGTGTAAATTTATTTATTAAATCTTCTTTTATAGTAAAGTCATTTACAGTGTAATATTTCAACTTACACACGCCACTGTTAATTCTGTTATTTCAGAAAGCAAGGTAACAAGCTGCGTAGGTTAATGACTTTTGCCTGGCCATGCCTGGTTTCAAAAAACTGTGTAGACCCGGCCACCAAGTATCATGGTCATCTGTTGCTGGCACATATCATAGCAAAGTTTGCTATTCATAAGAGAATTGTTTTGCAGGTTAGTAACTGTGTAAGTCTTCCACATTATGAGGGAGGCAAGGATATATTAATTTGGCTTTGTCGTAACATGGTCTGTGTATCCAGAACTACAGATTTCTTTGTTTGCAAAAGTAGTAAATTAAACTGTTTCAAAATCCAGTCTAAAGAAGACCTCCTTCCTCTTCTGCCCTGTATCCCAAATAGAGCATATGTCGTCCTCAGTCAGCTCATGCAAAGTCATCATATCTTATGCTATTGCATGCAGCTGATCCCATGTCCTTATCTTTTTTAACATCACTCTTTAGCACCATTCATTTTCTTGGTGCCATATTTCTATGCCCCTGTGGGTTCCAGTGTAAAGCCTCTCTAATTATGCTCCCATGTTTTCTCAGTGTTTGTCTTATCTAGTGTCAGCATCTATTCTTCACCTCTTGATTCATTGTAATTTTAGTTCTCCCCCTAAGCTTTTTATTAGTGATTCTGTCATGCTATTTAATTCCTTCTGTTGTAAGCATGCACCAGTTAATTAATGTTTATAGTGGTTTTTTTTTTTTTTTTTTAAGTTTTAACCGTTTAGGGTATCTGTGTTTATGCTCCATACACGCTGTGACGTTAGAGTTAAATATTTCAAGTTTTAATGCCTTTATAAAATTTTATTTAAAATTTTATTTTAGTAGAAGTTGATCAAGCACATGAATGGCATGGTAAGCCTTTCATCCAAATGTAATGGAATTGTTAGAGGGGCTGTTATTTTATTGTAAATATCTGCTTACATTGGTTTGGGGTTGAGAAATCAAAACATTGTGTGTGCAAAGAAGAGATTTGCGAATATGTAAGATATCGCTTATAGCTGTAGTTATTATGTGTTCATTACAAAAGTTACCCCTTTTGCATCATTTTTGTTACTCAACTCTTTCAGTACCTAACAATGCACTGTATATTTCTTGATCATTCCAAAGATAGTATATTGTTGGTGTCTTCCATCACAGATAGTTTTTATATTAACTCTTTATTTGCAAATTTTGAAGGGGCTGCAACTGAAAACCTTAGTGTGATAACAATGACAGCAACCATGCCATTGTCTTTAACCTGTCAGTTTTGTTGTTAAGGATGTCAAGAGTGTTGAGCATGTGATATCACGATGTAGACAGACACAGTGGTATATTGGCAGTTTAAAGATGGCCGTCCCCCTTTTGACATGCACAAAAGATGAACAGTGATTTTTTATCCCTTATTTGATCAGTGAAGGGGCGAAATCTGTAACAGTTCATCATTCAATGAAGGTCTGGTATGGTGACTCTTGACATCCTTAACAACAATATTGACAGATTAGAAAACAATGACATGGTTATTGGAATTGTCACATTTTTAAGGGTTTCATTTGAACCCCTCTCTAATTAGTTTAACCTCATCTAACTCATTGTCATTTTTAACTTCTTTAAATCTAAGTATTTCTTGTTTTCAATCTGAGCTGCTTAGTATAGAAAGAGTTGAAGTAACAGCTGCTTGGGACCGAAAGAGTTAACAGATCAGTATTTAACCACTTATAAAATAAGCACACAAACACTTGTTAAAGCAGCCGACCACCTTCTTGATCAAATATACATGGTTATTAAAAGAAAAAAAATGAGCCTAACGGCATATCCTGCAATATGCCAGGCTGGCATTGAATTGGAATCTTAGCTATTTTTATGAAATTGTTCAAAGAGTTAACACTACTGATTTCAGAAAACATAATTGAGTGGAATATTTGTGTGTGTTCAAAAACAGGTGTTTCACAGTCTGCTGAAGGCACATGCCCATGAGGCCAAGACGGTTGTCCGGCAGTCCTTGGAGTACTTGACCCCTGCAATGCCCAGTCGCATGGAGGATGGAAATGTAAAACATGGTTTTTGTTTTGTTGAAATATTTGGATTTTCTTCAGCAATCAGTGTTTGCTATGTGTCTGTTCCAATATAGGTCATTTTAAAATAAAATTTAAAAAACAGGCTGGTGTGCTTAAGGTCTTCACCGGTGTTGTGAGTCACTTAAACTTTATCAGTGCATTACATGTATTCTTTGTAATTGAATTTTGTCAGGCAGGTACAAGATTATTGCAGGAAGCAACAGAAGTCCATTGCCACCATAGATCTCACAAAATCATGTGAATGTTGGCAGAGATGACCTTTTTAAGATCCTAGATCAATACTGATGCCCACCCAGACTACTAGTCTTGTTAAATGCTTTCATGAAAATATGACATGAACTATCAAATATGAGGATTCGACATCTTCACCCTTCCAGATTAGTAACTGTAAAGCAGGGTTGCTTATAGCTCATATTTTTGGGGCATATTTTGTTTGCCATATTGCTTTGGGGTCAGCCACTGAAGGGATATATCTCTGTACAAGATCAGATGGTAGTTTGTCCAGGTTTCATACAAGGACTAAGATGCAGGCAAGATGCTTCAGGGACTTTTTACTTGCAGATGATGCAGCCATACCACACATAACAGAAAATATTTTGCAGATTCTCGTGAATAGCTTTGCAAATGCCTGCAAAGAAATTGGACTTGTCGTCAGTCTCACATAAAACTCAAGTGATGCTGATGAACCTGGGAAACCTATCATTGACCACTCCATAGACCAGCTACCCTAGCTGCACTCTAGTTTGGAAATTCCAGTGAAACCATTTTTAACTGTTAACATGTTGTCTATTTTCAAATGGTTACAACTCTTCTACAGGGAATGCTGACTCACTGGACAAAGAAAATTATTGTTGAGGAAGGTCACAGTGTAGGGCAGCTTGTGCATATTTTGTAAGTTATGCTTCAGTACTTATTTTCCTAATTTTTTTTAAATCATTTCAATGTATATTTTCCTATCCATTATAATCATTACAACAGTAGCATATATGAGCATAGTAAGGGTGGCATAGGTACATTCCTAATCAGTGTGCCACAGCAGCAATCCGGTGTCCCCTAGGTCTCCCTCCGCTAATAAAGGCATTGTGCATGTCTTATGTGCAGTGTCATTAAAGACAAGGCCACTCTCCTCTTCTCAACATTCACCTGATGTAAACTGTGGTAGAAATTTCTGGTTGTTCGTCCTCTTCTGGACTTTGATCTTGTTCTAGAACTTGGGTTTTGCATTCACAATCCGCTTTATAGCTCTGGCTTTTTTGTATGCATTCTGTTGGTTCATCGCCTCTCAGGCTAATGCACTCCAACTTTGAAGGAAATACATAATTAGTCCTCTTATGACCTGCTTATTAGGAAGGCGGCAGGTCTGTTTTTTTCCCTACCACAGTGAGACCATGGAATCCACTCAGAGATACAAGTCCACTAATTACTTTGTTTACACCGAGTTTTTGTAATTGATAAAATTGTGGAGGTTTGAAGGCAGAAAAATGTAGTTTATTTTGTGTATTCTTTTGCATGTTTTAAATAAATTGTATAGACTATTTTTTAGATTTAAAATTATGAAACTTTGCTTGTTTCTATATAACTGTTGTCAGATCATCAAGGGTGGCTTTCAAAAAAAAAAAGATTTCAGTAGTTTGGTAGTTATCTTTCATTTACTTTTATTAAAGAAACTACATTTGGTTTTTAAGATGAAAAAAATCAGTAATTGTTATATATTTTACATGATCTATTCTGTACGACAACTGAACACCAAATCTTACTTTAGGATAGTTAAAGGTGAGGTTTGCTTTTGCTTACGTCAGTTTGACGGCTTTGTTGCTAGCTGGTATGGCTAGGTTTGCTGGTTGATTGACAGCTGCGTACTAGTGCGGTAAAATGGACATTTGAGTTCAGGAGAAAGGAAGAAACTTTGTATTTTTCAAAGGGTCACAAATTGGCTTATGCAGGCCCTTCAGACACTTTTAGACCACACAGTTACATTTTATCAAGAGCTTTTAAGAGAACTAGACATCCACCTTGTAAATTCTTAATGTGATGATTTGCTTTGTATGTTGGCCCATGCTCAGAGCAAGCTGAGCAGAAAACCCGTGCAAGAGATGACGGCACAGGATTCTCGCGGCTGGAAAGATGAATGAGGAAAAACCCAAGGTTGGGTCATGGTCACTTGCCTACCAGAATTTGAAGAAGACAGTTGTGATGAAGTCCATATAGTCTGAATTAAGTGTATTGAACGTAGTGTGAATGATCATTGTCGCATAATTATGCAAGTGAACAGCGATGGCTGTGATTGAATAGAGGGGAAGAATCATAAGGAATAAACTGTCAGAGTTTATACATCAGAAACTGAGCGCTGTTCTGCATCGTTGATTGTAGATAGTTGTGTTGTTTCAAGTTGGTAGCTGTGCATGTGTACGACGACAATGTCACGTGAAGTAATGTTGATAGCAGGAATGTGGAAACCCTAGACTGGAAGCCAGGAAGGTATATAGATGCATTGAAAGCATCAATATTATAACCGAGCCAGCATATTGCACCTGATTTGTATGGGGGAAAAGCTGTGTATTTTACACCCATATTGCTGAATCTGCTATGGGAACATAGGTGATTTGCTCAGTTTTGGTGCCTAGAAAAATATTTGTAAAGAAACAACTTTGGGAGAGGACTTAACATGTGTTAGCAATGTTAACACTGAAAGATGCAGTGAAACAAGGTCACTCATCTCAGTCCTAGTAGCAGCACAAGATCATAAAATAAGCTAGTTTATAGACATGTTTTCTTTTTTCAAACTACTGCACGTAAAATTTGCCCAGGAAAACCACTACAGCCAATAAATGCTTGGGTTGGTTCTGCAACTTCTATTTAAAGGATGTGAAACTAACTTGTTTTTTTTTCTTTTTTCCTGAATTTCAGACAACTTGTTGTTCGACATTATAAAGTCTACTATCCTGTCAGACACAGCCTTCTTCAGCACATGGTTAGTTCCCTTCAGAGACTCGGCTTTTCCCTGAGTGTAAGTTCACATTTTTATTTATTCATAAAATATTTTGATTGCACACATCCAGTCAGACGGAATTACCATATTTTCATGTATAAGACATGTTTTCCCACATTGTGTCAGTTTAAAATTGGGGTAGTCCTCTTCCTCACATTCACAGGCTATAAACTCCAGTGGAAAGTTCTGGTTGTTCATCCACCTCAGGACTTTAGTCTTGTTCCAGAACCTGACGGTTGCAAGCTTATCCGTTTTACAGATCTGACTTATGTGTATGCAGATTGCTGGTTCCTTGCCTCTCAGACAGATACACTCCGACTTTGAAGGAAGCTCCCAGTTAGTTGACTCTTACAACATGCTTTTTTGGGGAGGCAGTGGGTCTGTTCTTGTTGTCCCCACAATAAGGCCCCAGAACCCACACAGGGAGGGGGTAGTCTTACACACGGAACGTTTTTAAATATTGTCTTAATTTTCAGCTCTTAAAAAGAAAATAGGGGTCATCTTTTGGGTGGGGGGAGGGTGTGGGAAGCAGTTGATGGACTTGAGCATGTAACAATACAAGTTTCAGCAGATGTTTCCACCACCGATTTTTATGTTTCATCGCCAGCATATTCTTATTCAGAGGTGATAAATTTCATGTAAATTCCTTATACTGTAAATACAGTTGTGCTGTTTTTTATATATCTCTCTCTATATACATATATATATATATATATTTAAAAAAAAATATTAATGTGTATATATTTTACAGGCAAGCCTGGAGCATCGCAAATTGGCAGTGGACCTGGCAGATATTATCATTAAATGGGAGCTGATGAGAATTAAAGAGGAACAGGAAGGCCCTGGGGAACCACAGGTTTGACTGTCATACTGCAATTTCAGAATAATGTACAGCTTTATGAACTTTACTTTTACGAAATTCCGGGGGTGCACGAACAACTTGAACTTTCTTTCGGAGTTTACAGCTGGTGAACATGAAGAAGACAATGACGGCGACTAGTAATAAATAATATTAAAATGGATAACTAAGGATATTAACATAAACTACCCTCCAAAGTATGCCTCCAATGTTATTTCATGATAGTGAGATGCTGACCATAGAAATAATGGTTTAAGGGAGTAATGGAGGCTGAGAATACAATAAAAATTATTTTTAAATAAAGGCGTGTCTAAAGTTTGGGCTTAAAAAGGTTGTTTTTGCACACCTAATTATTTTGTCTAAAGGAGCGCACGTTTTTTTTTAAAGGAAGTTAAACTATAGTTGTAATTGTTATAAAGACAGGAAAAATACTAACTCACAAAAGACTAAGTAAATCACTTGTTTAAACAAATATTATTGAACCTTGTAGTGAAAAGATGCTACTCTGTATAGAACACACATTGAGAGAAGAATCTAGTTATGTTTCTTGTGGATAATGGAATCAGATCTATTTGTTCCTTATAAGTCAAAGTGCATTTGCCTGGGAGGCAAGGAACAAGTAAGCCAGATCTGTAAATCGAATGTGCATGCAAAACTCAGATTTTGGAACAAGAAGTCCTGAAGTTGACAAGTCCGGAAGTTGAAAAACAACCAGAACTTTCTGCCAGAGTTTGCACTAGGTGAATGGAAAAAGAAGAAGCAATCCATTTGCCACAGAATGCCTTACCTTTTAGCCCTTTTTGTCTTTGTTTTAGTCTCCCTTGCCCGATCTTAGTGCAGCATCTACCAGCTCTTCTGGAGGAGCAGCTGCACAGCCTGCAGCTATCAAACGTTCACTTTCTTCAGTCAGCTCACCCCAAGAACCCAAGAAAACAAAGGCAGCCGGAAGTATAAGTGTAAGTAGTAATTACTTCACTTTGATTCTACTGTGAACAGATTTGTTACACATCCGTTTTTTCACAAACTGCACCTGTGAATTTAGTATGCACAAGTCTGTGTGTCTTTAAGCGTCTTCTTCTTCTTAGCATTTACCGGCTCTCAGCCATGGCAAAAGGTTCTGGTTGTTCATCCACTTCTGGGCTTCGGTCTTGTTCCAGAACTTGAGTTTTGTGTGAACATCCGTTTTACAGATCTGGCTTATCCTTGCCTCTCAGGCAGATGCACTCAGACTTCAAACTATGCACCCCAGTTAGTCACCTTTAATTACATGCTAGTTAAGTGTGCATTGGATCTACTCCCCAAAAACAACAAACATTGGGCCCCAGAACCGACTTTATGAGGTGGAATAGATTAAAATGTTAGATAGAATTTCTAAGAATTATTTTAGGGAACAATAAATTAATTATTCTTAGAATTTTTTCAGAGGAGAAAATGTAATTTTATCAAATCGGAACACTGGAGGGGAAAAAAAAGCATCCGTTAGTTAAAATACTGAAGTACTTTGTCTATATAAGTAAGCATCACAGTGGTTTAAAAAATGCTAAAGGGGAAAATCATGGTTCCTAGAAAATTTAATTTGCTGACTTGGAACACTTGTGAACATAGATAAGGTGGGAGAACTTTTGTTGCCAGATCAATGACATTGAAAACAACTTTCTGCCATAGCCATGGTTTATTGTTTTGGTAGGTTTTTTTCTTGTTAGTGGCTACATAGTCTTATCCAGTAAGAGACTAACATCTCAAGTAGAATGTACACTGTAGTTTCAGTCTTCTGCATGCATTATAAGCTACATCTTTTTTTGGGATTGTCTGTTCTCTACAGGGTGGAAAATCAGATGTAAATAAACCCATTGACAAACAGTATTGTGATGCAGTTGCCAATTTCTTGCTTCGGATTGCCTGTCAGGTTAGTTGTCTGTTGCATGCGTTTAGATTTAGTGTATTAATTAATGCATTAAACAGGAGAGAAGCCAGAAGAAATCAACAGAAGACATCAAAATGAACAGGGAGCAGCAGCGTGTGTTTTAATGAATAAGTAGTGCCAAAAAAAAAAATGTTGTTAATCTGTAAAGGTAAAACTAAATAATATGAACACTGAAGAAATGATTCTTCTTCTAGCTTCTATCCCCCTCTGGAGCATAGGTCCTCAACTAACTCACACTAAGTCATTCTATCCTTTTTGACCTTTCCATAGTTGGTTGATTTTTGTGTCTATTATTTTTTTTTAATGAGGTAGTCAACCCCAAGCCCAGGCCTACTCTTTGTCATCTTTTACGACCTGCCTGATAGGTTGCAGTGTTACTATACTTTGGTTCCCGTGAGAGGCCCAGTAACATGTGACTTAAGAAGTTATTACATAAGCAAAAATGTAAACTTGCTGTTTCTCAGGTTCTCTTGTGTTAGTGTGCGTTGTCTTAGCATAGTTCTTGTGATCATTGTCTTTGCCTATCATTAATGAACGTGATAGATAGAAAGTATGTCTTTTTACAGCACAACAATTCAAGTTCAATCCCTACAGATGTGGAAATGTTTTCCATTTTATAATTACCAGGTAGTGCATAGGGGTTCATAGCAAAAGCAAATGGACGTCCCCTAGTGCAACAATGCCCGGCATATGATATCACAATGTCTAGTTTGAGAAGGGGGGTCAAGGCAGTCACTGCTGCATCCCGCTGGCTTGAGGATCAGCTGTAAACAAATTGCTTTAGTAGTTAATTATTAGTGAATAAACAGATGGTATGTTTATAAAAATTAGTAAATAGAAATAATAAATTTTCCGCTTACAACCATGGCACTCAAGGAAAACTCGATAAAATATATCCAAACTGAAATCACAAGTAAACATGCAAAGCACATAGTAATGTATAAATAAAATATTAACACAATGTCTCCATTAGATCTTGTTCCAGAGTAACTTTTAGAACATCATAACAGAGCACCATTTTTCTTTTGATAAAGAAAAATGACCTCCAAAAACAGTATTTTCACACATATTAAAAAAAACTTAATTTTATATAACACTCAGTTTGCCTATAATTTTATAACTTATGTTACCAAATAATAAGGAAATGGCACTAGAACTAACACTGAAGAATATTGCCTTTATCACTAATATTTGTACTACCTGACTATGTTACGGTTGTACTCTTTGCAACTCAGTAAAGCTCACAGACATGCTACATTTGATACATTTTCAAATAAGCCTAAAGGTCTTCATGTTAAAATCGAACACAGACAACAGGAAATATCATTCAAAACTGCTGGTTTGCATTGTTTTACTGGCTAGTGTTTAATTAAAAAAACCAGTACGCGTCACGCGCCGATTTGCCGCCTGGGTAGTAACTGATTATTGCATGATGTGTTTCCTGGGACTCAAATAGTTAAGGTGTTAAGTGAGAGAGAGCCTGTTGGAAAGATTAGGCGGTTCTCAAGAAACTTGCAGACTTTCATTGGAATGACTAGACTTAATGATCGTAATCTTTATGTCAAAGACAGCTCAGTGACCTTATTGAGCTGTTCAGCCTAAATCATGACTTTTGTTTGTTCATTGCATCTCTCTTAGCCTTATATTATTTTTTACTTTCTTCCACACTAAACTCAGGTAAATGAAGCTGCAAGTGGTGCTGTAGGCCACAGCTCAGCTGGAGAGATGCTGTCCAAGAGGTGTGTGGCTCTCCTCAAACTGGTCCTGCGTCCTGATGTATGGCCGAATGTAGACCTCAAATTAAGCTTCTTTGACAAACTGTTGAGCACTGCCACCAGTGCCCAGCCAAACATCAGCAATATTGTGGTAGCTCTGGAGCTGTTGGAGTTCCTAATTGGCATCATGGTAATCTACTTTACTATAAACCTTTTCTTTGAGTAATTTGTTTTCATGCATCCAGTGTTAAGTTTTTAACAGATCAACTCCTTTAATATGTCAGTTGAGTATAAAATAGTAAAAACCTTAAGTGCATTATGGCTTTGAAAAATCTATAAAAATGGTTACAATTTTACATATAAATTACTTTTGTTTTTATTCAAGTGTAAAATATTTAATGTAGATAGTTTTTTCTTAAGCTAAATTATGTGCATTCTTTTTGTTAATTTGCAGTGTACATACATTATTTTGTAAATAGTAAATGCTATAGTTAAATTACTTTTATAGTCAGGGAGTACAGTATTTCTTGCGTTTCATCAAGTTTCCTTAACATTAAGACATGTTATGCAGACTATTTTAAATATTTAGTTGTGTAAAACTGTGTTTATTGTATATTTTTTACGGAAGGTTTTTAAACATAGAAGAAAATGCGTTCATAAATAAATGAATCAGAAACTGAAAATACTTTCGCTACATTAAGTTTCAGAGTGGTCTAGAAAGAGCAGGAAGGGGCGGCATGGTTCTTGGTTTTACCGAGTTGCATATTTAATCAGATTACATGTTACAGTTATTGGAGATGTATTAACTGATGAATTTGGAATTGTTTTGCTAGTACCATTTTGATACATGCTTCCCCATCTTTAGCAGCAAGCACAGAATTTCAATTCCGATGGCGCCAGTAACAGTCTGATTGTATATCCATCTCGCCTTTCCTTTGAGTGTCGAGCGTCGGCTAAATCCTCCTCTGGCCACTCCTCGTAGCACCATTCTCTTTAGACAGTGATGATCTGTTTGTGCCTCCGCACTGGAATCTAGTGTGGTACCTGTGTCCTCTCTCATCAATGTTTGTTGTAGTTTTGCTTTGCCTGTTCTCCTGTATAACAGCAATTAAGATACCTCAGCTGTTCAGCCGATAAAATATTTGCATCCATGTTGCAGAAGAAAGAAATGATCTTATCCAGCTTCAAGCCCTTGCAGCGTGGCATCTCTGTGTGTATGAACTGTAACAACACCAAAGTCATCCGAGCAGTGCACAAGCTGCTGATGAGCTTAATGAGCATCTTCCCAACAGAGTCTGCCAACTGCTCCGTGGCTTCCAAGTATGAGGAGTTGGAGGCATTATATGCCTGTGTTAGTAAGCTCATCTATGAAGGGTTGACCAATTATGACAAGTAAGTATGAGCACCCTGTAAGTGTTACAGCACTCTCTCTCTCTCTCTCTCTCTCTCTCTCTCTCTCTCTCTCTCTCTCTCTCTCTCTCTCTCTCTCTCTCTCTCTCTCTCTCTCTCTCTCTCTCTCTCTCTCTCTCTCTCTCTCTCTGTGTGTGTGTGCGTGTATCTGTGTGTCGTGTGTCTATGTATGTATGGCAGGGGGATGTGTATTTTTTGATAATGTATGTCTGCATGTGTGAGTTTGTATGTGCATGTATGCCCGAATGTATGTGTGTCTGCGTGTGTGACTGTGCGCGTCTGTGTATATGTGGGTGTTGTGTATGTTCCTGTTTGTCTGTGTGTCTCTCTGCCTGTGTCTATGTGTGACTATGGCTGCATGTGTGTGACTGTGGATTTATGTCAGTGTGTGCTTGTAGGTGTTTTTTTTGTGTGTGGCTGCGTGTCTGGGTTTGTGCGTGTGTGTCTTAGAGTGTGTTTTTGTGTGTGTATGTATGTATGTATGTGTCAGTGTGTGTATGTACGCATTTGTGTGTATGTGTGTGTGTAGATGTGTGTGTATTGGGTGCATTTGTGTGAGTGAGTGAATGGGTTTGCGTGTGTACGTGGGTGTGAGCGTGCATATGCATTTTACCACCCATGCTTTCGTTTTTGACTTGATATTCATAATATGCATATCATTACATAAAAATAACATGCTCTATTGATAAAATCCAACTGCTGTGTGAAAGATGGGTGTTTGGAAAGGCAGAATGTAAGACAGGCCTGCAGGCCTAATTTATGACCCTTTGAAAATGAAGATTGTTCGTTTGTTCGTTCGTTCTCTGTCTGTCTCTCTTTGTCTCTCTCTGTCTCTCTTTGTCTCTGTCTCTCTGTCTGTCTGTCTCTCTCTCTCTCTCTCTCTCTCTCTCTCTCTCTCCCCCCCTCCCCCCCCCCCTCTCCTCTCTATCTCTTTTTGTCTGTTTTTTTTTTTTTTATTCTAGAGGTAGTCGTGCGTGCCTATACTTGTAATATAATATACTTCTGTTATGTATTTGGCACCCCCCCCCCCCCCCCCCTCACTTTTTTGCACTTTCCTATTAAAAAAGTCCAGGGCTGTACCCACAAATTGGTGTGATGTGTAGTCCTTCTCTACACAGTAACCCCTCAGTGTGGTGCACTTCTCTTCCTGATATCCTGTCTGCAGAACTCTGTCTGAACCTGAAATCACCCCTCTGCTTCAGTAATCAGTCTCCTTCGAAGTAGGAGTGCATCTGCCTGAGAGACAAGGAACCAGCAGTCTGCATACAGATAAGTCAGATCTGTCAAATGGATGTGCATGCAACATTCAGGTTCTGGAACAAGTCTAAAGTTCAGAGGGGGACGAACAACCAGAACTTTCATCCTGAGTTTACAGCCAGTGAACATGAAGAAGACAAAGAAGTAATTAGTCCTGATAAAATATCCCATCTACCATAGTCACTGCACTTGGCATTGAGTCACTTAGTTCTGTTTCCAGTTATGTTAAACCTTTTTACCTCCCCCTGTGGGTTCCAGGGCCCTATTGTTAGGGAATAAGAATAGACTCACTGCCTTTATAACAGGCATGTCGGCAGCGACTAATTTAGGGCATCTTTTGAAGAAGTGCATCTGCCTGAGTTTAGTAACAAAACTAAAGTCCAGAGGTTGACGAAAAACTAGAACTTTTTTGTTTACAGCCGGGAAACATGAAGAAGAAGAACCTGCTTCATAATTTTTCCTATGGCAAAGGCTTGGTAACTGAAACATCTGTACACAGTCAGACTTCATACCAATTTGCAGATGGTTTCCTTTGACTAAAGAGGGAAACATTTTCATCATTCCCCCCAAAATTGTACCCCTAGTACATCTGTTTAGATGTATATTTTTGCCTATTCTTATTACTTATTTTAACACCTGATTTTATTTTTTTTTTCATTGACACATTATGATACATTTTTTTATATGTATTTTGTGTTGTAAAAACATTTTTTTTAAACTTATTCAATTCCTATGTCTCTTTGTCATCTCTATTCTCTTGTTTAAAATGTTTCTGCTATCCACTTAGTTTTCTGCTTTCCCTGTTCTGTACTATCTGAAACATGTTTTCTAGCTATTCCCATTTGTTTCCTTCTATTAACTCTGCCTTTATTCTCACTTTTTTCTGTGTTGTCGCTATTTTCTCTTTTGCAAGTTTCTGTCTCTGTTCCCTTTAGTCTCTACTATCTTTGCCCTTTTCCTCTCTTCACTTTTTATCTTTTTATTTTTTTCTATTCCATTGTCTCTATTCATTCATTCCTTTTTCATGTATATATATATATATATATATATATATATATATATATATATATATATATATATATATATATATATATATATATATATTCTGCTACCTTTCTGACTAGATGTTGTGCTTTGTTGTCTTTTTATTTTATTATTCATTTGTCACTAGTCTCACTCTTTTCTGTTTTCTTTCTCTGAATTCATCTCTGCCCCCTTACCCCATTCTTTTCTTACTTTTTTTTTTTTTTTTGTACTGTTAATTATACTTAACATAAAATCTAATAAACATAAAATATAACGTAAGTCTGTACTTATTCTTTCCAAGGAACAATGGTGCTAGCCCATCTTTGTTCAGCACATTGATGATCTTGAAGTCAGCGTGTGAAAACAATCAGTGTTATATTGATCGCCTCATCACCATCTTTATGAAAGTGCTGACAAAAATGACCCATGAACACCTCAAGACTCAAGAATCTTCCCAGGCTAATCGTGCTGGACAAACAGTTCAGGACACAGACAAAGGTTTGAACCGTTTGTGTCTGTGTGCGTGTGCTAACATTTGTCATTTTTATTACTTCATCTTTAATTCATTAATAATTAGCCACAAATAAACAAATGGCAAACCCTTGAGGCCATAGAATCATTATAAATAATTAACAAACACACAGTGTATTGACCTGTGCTCATAGAGAGAAGTATAAAGATATAAGGTCATACTGTTAGTTAGTTGCGTATCCTTTACAGGACGTTGCAGAACCAACCCCATAATTTTTTGGCTGTTGTGGTTTTCCTAGGCAAGCTTGCCATTGCTTTTTGGACGGGCATCTTCTCGATACCACTGTCAAAACCAACGCAGAGCGCAAGGTCCGCAGCTGGGATCAAATCTGGCGCCCTGGCATTACAAAGTGCGTTCGTAATGCCTAAGCCACAGACGCCGACAAGAACACACTAAACATAAAAAATCGAAGGCTATTGTTACCATGCCAGGAATTGAACCTGTCACCGCCAAATGGAGTGTGCGCCTCAATTTGGATACAAGTGATCTAAGATACCTCTGAAAAAGGTGTCTTCATTACCCATGTATATCGTACAGTTTGAAATTCACAACTATGGAATATGGACAGAATTCATCTCAAAGCATTGAAATGGCACCATTTTGTGGTGACAGGTTTGATTCCTGGTACAGTAACCATAGCTTTTGATTTTTATGTTGTCTTGTGTATTCTATCTTTCTGTGAGCGCCGATCAATACATTGTCTGTTTGTCTATTAAATATAATAATTAGCTAGCATCTGTTTGACTGACTGGACAGCCTCAAGAGTGTAAATGTCAAGTCCATTGCATCTTACTGACAGAGGTGGAGGAAACTGATCAGTCAGTCATCAGCAACTGGTGACCCAGTGACATAATGATTTTTTTAAATTATGTTGAATTGGCATCACTGTAATATGGACAAGCATACGGGTTCTTAGTCTCTCCCAGCATGTCGAAGAGTGTGCTGTTGATTTATACATATCTCCTGCCTTGCTGCAACAGCTGTAGTCGAGAATTTGTTTAAATTATCACACCAAACAACAAACTGTCATTTTTTGTCCCCAGTATATTCCCCTGTCCATCATCATTGTCCTAATGATAAAAATAAAAGGACCTTTTCCTATGCCTTCAGGCGTATTGGGCATATAGGGCTAGACCTATATTTTATGGACTAATTGGCACTTGGTGGGTGATGTAGTCAGCTTCGCTCTTGCCGCCTTTACTTCTCAAGACTGCACCAGGACCCACTCAAGGCTGGGATCAACTAGGAGGCAGTGTAATGTTTTTAAGAAATCACGATCAGCAGGCGAGCATCTAGCCGCTACACCGCAGCGACTCGCAAAAATTAGTTGTGTATCCTTTACAGGACGTTGCAGAACCAACCCCAGCATTTTTTTTTGTCTGTTGTGGATTTTCTATGGAAATTTTACGTTCAATAGTTTGCCATTGTCTCCTGAATGGTCATCTCTCTGTACCTCTGTCAAACCAACGCAAGACAAACCGTCCGCAGCTGAAATCGAACCTGGCACCACAGCATTACCGACACCACAGCATTACCAAGTTCATTCGCAACGCCTATGCCACAGACGCCGACATCCTAATGTTAGGGGCTTTTAAACTGTATATTAACTTACTGTCTTTATTTAGCATTATCAAATTCTTTTAGCAAATGAATGAGTGTTGAGATGGACAACAGTTAGTTGATTCATATGGTATAGGAGTATCTCTGCATGTGTTCCGGTGCCCTATTTCATTTGTGGGAGGTGGCGTATAGACCTACTGCCTCTTTATAATCATATCATTTTGTAAAGGGCGGCTAATTAAGGACTTGCTCAAATAAGGACTTGTTTAAATGAGGACTTGCTTAAATGAGATGTCTTAGATTGAAAAGTGCAAAAATCACAGCCTAGTTGTAAACCACAGCACTGTGTGCCAGCTGCCTCTTTAAGGGTGAAATCAGAAGAAGTTGATGTGTGAATCAAACAATTTAATGTTTGTTGATTTGTGATTCACTGTTTGAATTGTTGTATTATACAGAAATTGAACAATTTGCCAAAATTGTAACCTTAGAAAATTAAATAAAGAAAGAAATTTATATGAAGAAATATGTTTTATGAAATACTGTTAATCTTAACAGCAGATGTTTGTGCTGCAGGAGGTTCCAGTGAGCTGCTGATTCTGAGTTTAGACTTGGTCAAGAACAGAGTTGGAGTCATGAGTCAGGAGATGCGGAAATCTTTCATTGGTAACATCCTGGCAGGTTTGATTGAGCGGACAGGAGACTCCAAGGTTATGCGAGCAATCACAAAGATGGTTGAAGATTGGATTAAAAACAAGGTTTACATTATATTCATATTTAATATTTGTACATCATTCCCTAGCAGCAGCATAAACTCACCATTTATACCTGAATACATTAAAGGGGAATCCAGGCTGTAGAAGTCGTATCTCTCAGGCAATGGAGCACACCAGCTGTTTCACGCACTGATAGGGTGAAAGAGATGCACTCAAATCGCAAGTCCCTTGATCAGAAATACCATTCTACAGTCAATACTGTTGTGCATGACCAAAAATGCACAAAACCTTGATTTTTTTTTTTTTTCCTAAAGCCTAAGGTGGACCTACATGCCAGTGGGCTGAATGGCTGCTGGTTATGCGGTCGCAAGAGGGGAATGTCTGTTTGTCAGGAGGGCCTGCCATAGGTGTATTGGCTCTTTTGGGATATCCCCTGCCTCTATCTTCCCTAGTAGCGCAGGCAGTACTAGGGTGGCCGTTTACTTCCTGCAATGAACTTTTTCTATAGATATTATACTTGAAACTAAAAGGAATCATCGCTGGAGCTTCAGAGTTCGTGCTCTGTGCTTGATACTATCTTCAGCAAGAAACTGAAAGAGTGGGAAGAGAAAAAGATGAGGGAATGAAGGCAAAGAAATAGGAGAGTGGGAGCCTGGAGAGTCAGGTATAAATCAGACTCTGGGATTAAAACATATTAAAGTTGGTTACTGGAATTGTCGCGGTGAGGGGCAGAGAGGGTCTGTACTGGAAAGGCTGATTTATGATTTTCACATCCTCATGCTTTAGGAATTAAATACAGATACATTTGAGTGTTCTGGATGCATTAGTTATATAAATCCTACTGGACGAGAAAGACATGGGCAATGTCTGCTGGTGAAGACTGGGTGAAGCATGTGGTGCTTGACCTGGGCCAGTATAATCATAGTACAACAGAGGTTCAGAGTATAAAGATAGAAAAACGAGGGCACAACTTGGAATTTAGTAAATGTTTATGCTGCTCTTGACTCTCTTGTCACAAAAGATCAGCCGGACTGGCTCACAGAATTATAGGAAATCCCTGGCAATAGGCTTCTCATGTGTGGGGATTTTAATAAGCGGAACAGACAGTACTGGAGAAAGTAGATAAAGGAAATGCCCTAATATAGGCCCTGGTTGATGCAGAAATAGTCTTATAAACAACAGTAGGTCAACTAGAATGGCAGTGGGACCTGGTGATGCAGGCACAACTATTCATTTGGCTTTTGTTACCCAGTCAGCAGTGCTGGACACAGAATGAAGTGTCCTAGGCAGTCATGGGAGTGACCATATGCCATGAGTCGTAAAAGTAAGCTAATTAGGTGTGTTTTCTTTGAAGTCGAAATGGATCTGTCGGTGATTGAAGATTCATCAGTCTGCATTCTGATTAGTCAAATTGTGGAACAAAACTACAAAGTTCACATGTGGACAAACAACCAGAATTTTCCTCTGGTGTTTACAGCAGATGAGGCTTTTAAGTTTTCCTTACCATAAATAAATGTATATGTAAATCTGAAATACTCTCTTATTTTGTAAAAGTTTTCATACAGTGTCATTTCAAAAACTATTTTGCAGACAACAATTGCCATAAATCAGTCACCATCTACCAGAGAAAAATGTATATTACTGTCCAAACTAATGAGCAACATAGAGAGGAGGTTCCCCGCAGACATTGAACTCAACTCCCAGTTTCTGGATTTGGTTCTGTTCATCTACAGGTACATATTGCCACTGTTTGCTGTACATGATATGTAATTTGTTGATTATATTTGTTAATGCACCATGGTTACCAGAAACATTCAGGAATTTTTTGGAAGAAATGAAGTTTCTAGAAATAGTTCATTAATAAAGCTAAAGATTTATTTTATTAAGAACATCTAGGTCGTAATTTGTTAAATACTTTTCAGGCTAGATTTTTTTTTTTTAATAGGTACACTCATATAAATTGTCTCTTTATGTGTATTTCATTTTGTTGTCATTTTTTTTTTTTTTTTTTTTTTTTTTTTTTATCTCCTGGTTGTACGTCTAATTGTTTAGTGTTGAGGATTCAATGTACTTAAGGTTCTGTATCAGAGAATGTAATACTCAGTATTATCTGTTTTGCAGAGACAAAGATCTAGAACATTCGGACCTGACCACAAAACTAGAGAATGCTTTTTTGGCTGGACTTAGGTGCAACCAACCTCATATCAGACAAAAGTTTTTAGAGGTATAATTCTGTTATGTGTTGTTTGTGTCTGTGGGGGGAAAAACAAAAACAAAACAGTGCTGTCTGAACTACCAGTGGCTTTTATAGAAAGTTTCTTGATACTGAATAAGTTAACAAAAACAATAATCGTCATCAATTTCCACTTTTGCACTTAAATGCCATGGGGAGAAACAGTTTGTGATCCATTCTTGATGGGTAGTAGTAGCTATTGTCATTTCATGTCAGTGTGCAAACTATTTAATGTCATCAGTCCATATTCTCCTAGGGAGTCTATTGCTTTCTTATCAGATTTTTTCATGTGTGGGCCTGTTCTGATAGTTCTGGTTGTTTTTTGATGAGATGACTGAACCATTTGATCTTGTTGTTCAGTTAATTTGCTGCATGGTGTTGTTCCCACAGTCTGTCTAAAAGTATCATTTCTCACTTTGTCTCGGATGGTTAAGTTGACGGCTTTTTCCCAGGCATCTCTTTTCCCAGGTGTTAATTTTAGGTAGGTTAGTCTTTGATTAAAGTTTTGGCATTAAAAAAGAATCCTTGCAAATAATATTCTGTTTACCACAAACAGCCATTAGTGCAAGAAACATAATACCCCTGGCACAAATATATGAAACTTTTCTTTTCATGTTGTTTCAGAGTTCTTGTGTAAATTATTTTTTATTTGCCTTATTCCACAGACCATGGAGAAGAGTATCCCTCGGAAAATATTTGATCGCCTGTTGTACATCATGTGTTCACAAAACTGGGAAAATATGGCTACCCATTTCTGGATCAAGCAGGCTCTAGAGGTGAAATGCATTAATGTCTTTCTTTGCTGCTTCACGAGTTTCCTGTTTAGGTTTAGACAATGTATCAGCATCATGGCACAAGGGTAGTAACACATAACTGCTACGTTCTACTTCTGACTCGAGCCTCAGTGCACAAACTCCTCACTTTTTCCTGTATGTGATTTTTTTTATTCTTAATGATGCAAGAAAGAAAGTCTTGATTGCTGCCTCTGGTAATTTTTATGTGTAGCTGTTTTAGGCATAATGATGCAAAGATTTGTTTTTTAATTGCAGGAAATGTTTTATAAGGCTTTGTGAATTAATATAGCATTCATGTATGGTTCATCTTTCTGGATGTTTGTTTTTGCAGTGTTTTATCATCCGTGTGAGATTTTGTATGTTTAGATGTTTGTATGTTCTTGTTTATATAGATGTTTGTTCTTGTTAGAGTTTGTATTTTCTTGTTAGAGTTTGTATGTTTAAGATGTAGGTGTGCTTGTGTTCTTGTTAGTTTGTGTGTTTTATATGTATGGATGTTTGTATGTTTTTGTTTGTTTGTTTGATTTTTGATGTATGGGTGTTTGTGGGTTCTTGTCATAATTTGCATAAGTATATATGTCAGGGTGTTTTTGTGTTCTTGCTACATTCTTGTTAGTCTTTATGTTTTATATGAATGGATGTTAGTGTGTTATTGTTAGAGTTTGTAGGTTTTATATGTTCGGGTATGGATATTTGTGTGTTCTTAAGAGCTTGTATACTTTATATGTTTAGGTGTTTGTGTGGCCTTTTTAGAGTTTGTATGTTTTATATGAAAAAAGTTTAGGTGTCCTTCCTAAAGTTTGTATATTTTATATGTGTAGCTGTTTATGTGTTTCTTGTTCTATCGGTTGTTATTGTTTTGTTTTTTTTTATAATGGAAAGGAAAGGATGCTTTTCTCATGATTGGATTATCTGGCATATGTCCTGTTTTTATAGACCACAGTAATAAAGTCAATTGCATTTATATCTCAGGATATTTTATGGTACCCATTTTAGGCCAGATTGATCGGAGAGCCCTAGCTTATAAAAAAAAATCTTTGTTAGTGTTACATTAGAAAGCCCATTGGGAAAGGGAGAGAAGGCGGGGCTGTGACATGACTAAAAGACTAATCTGCGATATTAAATTTTGAGAATAGCCTGCTGCCTTTTGTCTGTGCCAGTCAGATCTCTAGCGTAGTGAAAGGTGGAAGATTTGCTGAAATTAGATGTGTTGGTCTCAAAAGTGTAGATATTGCAGCCTAGCTTTAAACCAGAACACAATGTGCCTGCTGCCCTTTAAGGTAAAAAAAAAAAGGAATTCTACACTAAGCCTTAACTGTTGTTATATTGTTTATGACAGACATTAGATGGTGCCCTGTTTGTAACATGTTGTTTTGTTTGTAGTGTTCACCTGTAGTTTGGTTTTACAAATGCTTTTATGTATTTCTTTGATTGTCATTTGTAAATGCTGCTTCTTTTATGACATTTGTGCTTGACTTTGTTTATGACATAAACTTTTCTATGTTATTTGGCATCTATGTTTTTTATTTTGTGGCTCTCACTTTTAAGTGTTGTTTACAACAATCACTTTCAGATCAGTATTAATTATATTTATTTTTCAATCTCACTTTGTTTCTGACATTTATCTGTAGATTTTAGATTGGCTGGATCCGCACCACTGTGTGGGGAATTGATACATGATAAGGCATATGTGGTCAAGGCCCTTTGGGAACAAGCATTGGAATCAGTAAAGAAAGAAGTTTATTATGGCCTGGAGAGAATGAGGCACCTGGGTGTAACCAGAGGGTCTGGCTGGCTCACTACACAAAGAGAAAAGGCAATATGGATATTTAACCAGATTGTGACCGGTACCATCAGTATTGGAACTCTGCGCTAGCTGCTGGAGATGATGATGGATCATGCATGGAAATATCCTGAGTGCTGTGATGTCATTTTTTGACTCAGCTCAACTCAACCTGTAGATGTTACTCTTCTTATGACAGTAACTTGTAGCTGTTACTCTTCTTATGACAGTAACTTGTAGCTGTTACTCTTCTTATGACAGTAACTTGTAGCTGTTACTCTTCTTATGACAGTAACTTTTAGATTATTATTAATGATAAATACTTTAAAATATCACTTTATTTCTGACATTTACTTTTAGATGTTACTCTGTTTCTGATAGCTACTTCTGGGCGTTGCTCTGAAGACTACTGGTATCCAGAGCTCATCACCTGTCAACCTTTTGCCAAGCATCTGTTCTGTGATTGTTATGGCAGATTCCCAAGAGAGGGCAGAATATTCAGCATTGGTGAAAGTGAAAGATGAGCCCATAGATATGGAGTCTGTGGACACTATAAGAGATGAGGTTTGTGTCTGTCGTGTTAAAGATAATCTGTCACAGAAGTCACTCTGTTTTGAAATTTTTTTTCCACTCATACACTTGCTGAACTCTTCTGTCTTTTTTATGTTCACTCCGGTGCAAAGTTCTGTCAGTTTGTCCACTTCTGGACTTTGGTCTTATTCCAAAACTTCTATTTTGCTTGCACATATCTGGATTATTTGAATGCAAACTGTTGGTTCCTGGCCTCAGGCAGATGAACTTCGACTTCAAAGAAAATATCCCAGTACAGTAAATAATAATTCTACATATAAGTAAAAAAGTAAAGATCCCTTTTCACACCTTAGGCACATCGGGTATATGGGAAGAGCATCCAATATTTTTACAGACTAATCGGCCCTAGGTGGGTAATTTGGTATTCTACATAAATAATAAAGAAAATAATCTCGTATTAATGATTCACAGACTTGATATTTGTCTATTTTTTAACAGTTGTGAATGTGAAATATTACTTTTTTTTTAAAAACATGTTAAGTTCTTTGAGATAAAATCTTTGTCAGTAATAATTAGGCATAGTTCTTTGTGACAGAAATCTCCATCTGTATTAGAAGTCTGCTGCTCTTTAGCATATGTATTCATTAGATAAGTCAACTGGTCACATACTCTGTCTGGAAAAGCTATATTCAAATATGTTAGTGGGATTCATATTAAAATGGTCTGGAATATAGAAAACAAGTGGGGATCATTGAATTTAAATTGGCACTAAATTGTGCTTAATTATAGTTTTGTTTATGAGTTATATGTATCTTTAAGCATTCTTCTCTGTGGCCAGTTAAAGGTGAACTCTAATATCTGTCAGGAAAGAAATTAAAGCATTATTTATAGGCAGAATACACTTAACAATCACCTCCTCTCCCCCCATGTGGGTTCTGGGTCTCCATTATGGAGGGAAAATAATACTGCTCCCCTTAAGCGTGTCATTTATGTCAACTAATTTTATGTGGTGGTTTCCGTTATCGGAGTGCATCTGCCTGAGGTGAAGAACCAGCAGTCTGCATACAAATAAGCCAGATCTGTTGATGCAAAACTGAAGTTCAGATTCAAAACTAAAGTCCAGATGTGGACAAACTGCCTGAAGTTTCCAGCAGAGTTTACAGCCGGTCAACCTTGAGAAGGCAGAGGAGAAGAAGACTTAACAGTCATGTAGCTAATTCTGTGCACAGTGTCACGCATCACAACCTACTTAAAAGATTCTTTATCCTTTGGTAGCCTCATGTATTTACATGCCCAGAGTTTCTTTAAATCAGTTTTTTTTT